GGGGGGGGTCGGCCACCTTCTCGGTGTGGCTCAGGAGCATGGAAGGCAGCTTGCGCGGCAGAGGAGGCAGCGCGAGCGACTCGGGCGGCTTGATCTGGCGGGCGAGCGCGTCGAACTCGGAGAAGCGGTGGGTGACCTCCCAGGAGAGGCCGGGTCGCTGCCGGCACACCAGCCGCACCAGGTACCACCGCACGCCGTTCGACTCCCGCTTTCGGCAGTCGACGCCCATCACACGCACGTCAAACAGCCACGCGCCGCTAAGGGAAGGGTCGGGCGCCGCGGCGGGCGAGGCGGCGCGCGCGGCGTGCGCCATGTCGTGCGAGTCGTACGTCCCCGCGCGCGACCGCCGCGCCTCGCTCTCATCCTCTGAGAGCCGGTCGACGGTAGGGGCCTCGTCATCGGATGTGCGCGAGGTAGAAGGGCTCTCGTATGGCTTGGCGAGGGCGCGGGGCGTCATCTGAGGGTCGGCGTTCTCCAGGAGCGCGGCCATGGACGCACGGCCCCGATCGCGACGAGGGCCGTCGAAAATAACGTCAGGCAGGGGGGTGCTTGAGGGGGTGCTTGAGTTGCGCACTTCGAAGTGAACAGTAAGTTCTCGCGCTGAGCCGCGGCATTTCGTAGCCCCGTTTTCTTTTCGCTCGTGCAAGGGATGGCTGTGTGTCTTGTGAGCCTGTTTGTGTCTGTGTGTCGCTCGTGCGTGTCGTCATCATCTGTCCAGCGTCCACCCATACCGCGTTGGTGTCCAGTCCGAGCCTGGCTGTTCTTCACTTTCTACCTACCTACCTAAGGGACGGCGCGGGTTACGGCATTTCCGCTGGAGCGCGACTCTGCAAGGTCGACACCCTGTTTGCGCCTGCGGAGCAACCGAAGGGGTGTTTTAGATTTTAGTCTGCGAGGCCGAGGCGAGCGCGGGAGAGAGAGAGAGATTTGTTTGTCAGCGCGGGGGTGGGTGTGGGGGCCGCTCTCGCCTGGTCTCCTGGTCTCCTGGAGCCGTCGTAGTAGCTAGTATACCCGTAGTCGCGCGGCGTCGCTCGACGCTCGCTTGCGGCTCCAGGCTGCGGCGCGGCGGCAAAAAGAAGTTTTAGGGGAGGTGATGACGACGCGAAAAAGTCCTAGAGAAAGTCCGAATCTAGTCCCGCCAGCAATCCCTTTCCTCTCTCGCACTAGCTGTCGCGCGGGGGCAGCCTACTCCCTCAAGCGCTTGCCAAAACGGCCCAGCGGCTGCCAGTTGCCGCAGCCAGCGGCCACCGCCTCGGTTTCGCCACCCTCCCCCTCCTCCTCCTCATCATCATCAGCATCCCTGGTGTGGCCGATTTCTTTCGCGCTATCCGCGGCGGGATATGGCGTGATATGGCGGGATACGGAGCCCCATTAACTTGTGTTCACGGACAACGTCCGTGAACCGCAATCGCTCGACGGACAACGCCGTGCGACAAGCGCTCCCATTGCTCGATTCGATGATTGGCGGGGGCAATGGTAAGGGTGAGGGTGGAGGCGGCGGCGGCGGCGAGGGCAGCGACGAGGGCGGTGGGGGCGAGGGTGGCTGCGAGGGTGGCGGGGGCAATGGTAAGGATGAGGGTGGGGGGGCGGCAAGGCGGCAGCGAGGGCGGCGGGGGCGTGGTAGGTGGCGGCGACGGCAGCAACGATGGGGGTGGGGGTGAGCTAAGGGCGGTGTGGCGGCGAGGGCGGCGGTGGAGACGGTGGTGACCGGAGGCTCGAGGGTGGCGGCGGCGGTGACGGAGGCGGCAATGGCGGCGGGGGGCGAGGGCAAGAGCGGTGGCATGCCGGCCGGTGCGGCGGAGGCTGGCGGGTGTTGGGAGGGGGCGGGGAGGGCAGCGGCGAGGGCGCGGCGGTAGGGACGGCGGGTGAGAGGGCGGCGGCAGTGGCGAGGGCGGCAACGAGGGCGGCGGTGTGGGGAGGGTGGCTGCGAGTAAGGGCGGCGGTGAAGGTGGGGGCGGCGAGGGTGGCTGGGATGGTGGCGGCGGCGAGGGCGGCGGTGACAGCGGTGGTGGTGGGGGCGGAGGAGACGAGGGAGGTGGTGGCAAAAGCGCAAGGGCGGGTGGGCTGGCAGCGGCTGGGATGGCGGCGGCGGCGTGGGAGGTCCGGAGGGGGCGGGGAGGAGCTGCGGGGGTGGGGAGCGGAGGGCGAGAGCGGCGGCAGGCCCGGGGGAGGCGGTGGGGACAGTGCTCGGTGGCAACGGCGGTGGTGATGGTTCGTGGGTTCGTGGGGTGAGGAGCGAGAAAGAAGGGGCGGAAGATGGGGGTGGGGATG